ATCACTGGAAATGTAATAGAGAAGAAACAAAGCGCACTGTACAAAGTTGTTCTCAGTCACGAATCTATGAAATCTTCAAAACTAAAACGTCATTTGAGACGAGTAATTCGGAACAAACCAAAAAATACAAAATGCCAAGCAAAATTAAAAAAAAAAAAAAAAAAAAAACAATAGGAGAAAATCTCATCAAACGCTGCATGTACGTAAATGTTAAATAACACATTTTTATTGAAATTAAGCTTTCACCGTTGCTTGCTTTTCAAGTTGATAAATCAACAGACGTGAGTTCGTGTTCGCAGTTGCTGGTCTGTGTCTATATTCATGCGGATGATAGCAAAGATAAAAGAGTTGCTCTTTTGTGAAGATAGCATGGAGAAAATAAATACCTTTTTTGAAACTGGATGATTAAAATGGGTTAGAACGGTTGTGGGGGTTTGTACGGATGGTGCGCCATCTATGTCTAGCTCAAAATAGGGCTTTCAGAAAACAGAAAAGATTTAGCTCCCTAACCACTGCCCTAACCAATCAACATCAAGAGTCCATTGCTAGTATAAGTCGTAAATTATAAAAAATCTGGGGCCTTCAAAGAACTGAGCAAAAACATTAATATAGATCACGAGGTTCTGCTCTTCTACACTACAGTACGCTGGCTGTCAAACAAAATGTTGTAAATTGTGTTTTTGAATTGAAATCTGTAATCAAATTGTTCTTGGAAGTGCAAAGGAAACAAGACCTTTTGGTATACTTAAAACGACATAGAGTGGTTGAAGAGAGTATCATACCTAGCAGATGTGTTCGAACATCAAGATAAGCTTAACCTGAAGCTTCAGGGAAAATGAACGAATATTATAACTTTCCATGATAATCTCGGGGCATTTTTATCAAAGCTGCAAAATCGGTAAAGAAAATAAATCTTGGAAATATTATAAATTTGAGAAAGTGTGCGGTGTGGTAGATGAATCTGATTGTGAGATAATTAAAATTTTGAAAGAAGCGATTTCTGGGCATCTAGAATCTCTTGAAAAAGAGCTGCATCGCTATTTCTCTGAGCTGAAAAAAGAAGAATCTGCATTTACGCATTACCCATTCTCTTCTTCCCTTGATGTTGCCAGCATTCCCGATGAATTACAAGATGAATTCTTTGAATTACAGAATGATTCCGAGTAAGATGAAAAACTGCAGACACAATTTTGGTGTAGTATTCACCATTCATACCCAAACGTAAAATTGATTGACATTTCGAGAATATATTTTCAACACTATTCTTCTGTTAAAAACAAAATTAAGATAATTATAATGACATAGGTTGGCGTTAACAATTTTTTTTTTAAATTAAAAACTTAACAACGAAGGTTTAGTGAATAGTATGCAATTTTACTCATGTTATTAAAACAGTTATCAAGAGTAGTTCATATTGAAAGTCTACTAGAAAATAGTGCTTATTAATTTCCCTACTAATTTCGGCTTTTTAATTCTATGGGGGTCGCGGGTCACTTACTTTTTATAAAAGGGGGTCGCCACTCGAAAAAGGTTGGGAACCACTGCTTTAAAGGCTTTTAACTTAGGCTAATGTATGAGATTTACGACTTTTAACAAAATTATCACTCTAATAATGTCAGAAAGCTGTTATTTTTAAAAAGAAATTAAAAACCAAACGATACTAATAACCATTCAAATAATTTTAGTGTTCTTACAATTTTCTCGATTCACGCTAGTTATTCCCCCCCCCCCCCCCCCCCCCCATCCTCCCCGCCTAACTGGGAACAATATAGCACGCAGACGTTTGCCAAATCGTAAATACTCCAGGCATTTAATCAAAGCGGCCATCTCAGACATCTGCGAGATACGGTTTATTTTTACCTCCATTGATAAAAACTGACATACGAAGTGGGGTCCTGGCATTCAAACATACGAATAACGAACAACGCCACTTCTTCTTCTTCTTCTTTCGTTCTTAATTTTAGTGTTGGAATGGATCCCCTCCAACACAATTAAGTATACGTGGAAACTGAATATGCCATTGAGGTCATTGACTCCGATTTCAGCCTGCTTTTCTTTATGGATTTGCTTCCATAGCCTTTGTCTAACCAAGAACAAACTACAAGGCAGTTGATGTTTGATTTTGGAGTTGTCTTTCCTAGAAGAGTGGCTGTCCCCAGCTAACGAGCCTCATCTGCCCGAAAGTTCGAACTCGAGACTTTTCGGTTTAGCAGCCATGAGATTTACCGACTCGAACCCTCACAACAGAGGCGTAGCGACCCTTCCCGGCGCCCGGGGACAAACTTTCGATTTGCACCCCCCCCCCTCAAGATTTCGATTTGCACCCCCCCCCCACCTCAAACTTTCGATTTGCACCCCCCTCCCCCTCAACCTTTCAATTTATTTTTCAAAACCGTTTTGGCGCCCCCTAAGGTCGGCGTCCGGGGACATATGTCGTCCCCCCCGCCTCGCTACGCTACTGCCTCACAACGCCACTAAATAAAATGATGTTTTACATATTATTAGGTATTACATATAGAAGTAATATTTTCTATAAAACTATTCTAGTTATTCGTAAAAAAAAAATTAAATTTATAATTTAAAAGTACTTCCAAGTTACTCAGCTATAATCGCTACCTGGGGAAGGAAAGTGTTAGGCATAGTTCTGACTAGACTCGAGGGGACGGCGTGGTGTAGCGCTAGACGGCGCGCTATCAAATACGAAAGGCATGAGTTCAGAACCCTGACTGAAATACTCCCTACTTCGGGGTAAGGTAGTGAAATCGTGTCAGAAACCATCGTATCCACCAGCTGCTAAGTTAAAGATTCTTGTGGATATAGTGAAATCTTGTCAGAAACCATCGTATCCACCAGCTGCTAAGTTAAAGATTCTTGTGGATATAGTGAAATCTTGTCAGAAACCATCGTATCCACCAGCTGCTAAGTTAAAGATTCTTGTGGATATAGTGAAATCTTGTCAGAAACCATCGTATCCACCAGCTGCTAAGTTAAAGATTCTTGTGGATATAGTGAAATCTTGCCAGAAACCATCGTATCCACCAGCTGCTAAGTTAAAGATTCTTGTGGATATAGTGAAATCTTGCCAGAAACCATCGTATCCACCAGCTGCTAAGTTAAAGATTCTTGTGGATATAGTGAAATCTTGCCAGAAACCATCGTATCCACCAGCTGCTAAGTTAAAGATTCTTGTGGAGATTGTGAAATCTTGCCAGAAACCTTCGTGTCTAGCAACTGGTAATTTGCTTAACGATTCTTAACAGTTTTCCGGCCTGACTAGCTATTGAGAAACGACTGTGTCTCGGAAACAACAGAACAAGAAAGTCACAATTTATACAAATTCCGTTTCAGGAAAACTGATGAAATCTACTTCACATACTCTCTAAGACGTGGTGACCGAATTATAGTTTACTATGGAAATATATATGAATATGTGAAGTATGCATTAACGTATGTTGTGTTTTTATCAGCAGTTCTGTCATTCGTTTTAACTCATTCGCGGGACATGCCATTCTGGCAAGACTGTTCTAATAGAGGCAAGTGGCCAGGTACTGATAACATGTAATGAATGACATTCCATGTCACAGCTGATTAGATAACTGAACTTTGTTACGAAAAGATGTAAGATAGTTTCAGTCTGATTGGAGAATTGTGTTCTAATAATTAAAAGTAGTGTAGTTTAGAAAGGTCAAACTAAAAATGCGGGCATACATTACACAGAATTGAGTTATCTAAGTGGTGGTTCAAATACTGTGCTGTTTTGTTTAGAGATTAATGTAAGTTAAGTGTTATGGTAATATGCTTAGTGTTGTGGGGATAGGTTTAGTGTTGTGGGGATAGGTTTAGTGTTGTGGGAATAGGTTTAGTGTTTTGGGAATAGGTTTAGGGTTGTGGGAATAGGTTTAGTGTTGTGGGAATAGGTTTAGGGTTGTGGGAATAGATTTGGTGTTGCGGGAATAATTTTGGTGTTGTTGGAAAAGGTTAGTGTTGTGGAAATAGGTTTAGTGTTTTGGGAATAGATTTAGTGTTGTGGGAATAATTTTGGTGTTGTGGGTATAGGTTTAATGTTGTGGGAATAGCGCTAATGTTGTGGGGATAGGTTTAGTGTTGTGGGAATAGGTTTAGTGTTGTGGGAATAGGTTTAGTGTTTTGGGAATAGGTTTAGGGTTGTGGGAATAATTTTGGTGTTGTGGGTATGGGTTTAATGTTGTGGGAATAGCGTTAATGTTGTGGGGATAGGTTTAGTGTTGAGAGAATAGGTAGTGTGTTGTAGAAGTGTGTTGAAAGATTAGTGTTAGTGTTTAGGACATGAGGGTAACGTAGTGAAATAGTTTTTAAATGCGAAAAATCCTTTTATCCATATCACTGGTTATTTGGTAACATCGAAAATAGTCATTCGGGCGAATACAAAACGTTACTACTGGGTCATAAATTTTAACATTGGATTACAGCATGTAATTATTTTACAATTTCCCACATTGTAATACATAACTGTAAGACATTTTTAGCTTAAAAAAAAATATACTACCAACTTTTCTGTTGTCTTAGAAACTAAAATGTACTAATCATCTCATCAAAATTCTACTAACAAAATTGCCTTACACATTTCATCAATGTTCTAAGAAAAAAAAGTTTCCTTGCATATGTCATCAATGTTTTAATAACAAAATTGCCTTATCTATTTCATCAATGTCCTAATAACTCAAAATAGCCTTGACGATTACATCAAAGTTCTTATAGCGAAAAATTGCCTTACCCATTTCATAAATGTTCTAATAAAAGAAATTAACTAAATAGTTTAATCATAATTCTAATAACAACAAATTGACCGTACCCATTTCATCGATGTTCTAATGATAAAATCTCCTTTCCCATCTCCTCAGTGTTCTAATAAAAAAAAATTAGCCTACCCATTTCATCTAATAAAAAAAATTAGCCTACCCATTTCATCGAATAAAAAAATTAGCCTACCCATTTCATCTAATAGCAAACATTTTCCTTACCCATTTCATCGATGTTCTTGCTCATGTTGAGGGAAACCCCAATGAGGATGATACTAAACAGCAGTAGAAGAAACGTGACCGCACCCACAGCCCGGACTACACGCTTCCGTTGGCTGACCGTGCGGTCATCGCTCAGTGAATCCCCATTGGCTACTGTGGAGATAAAAAATAGAAACAAACACAGCTGTTAACCAATAGCAATTGAGCTTAATTTTTTTTAATACTTTAAATTCAGATTTCTTAAGTAAACAAGTTTAGCATGAATCAACACTATATTTATTTAATTTTAATTTACTTTAAAAAAAAATTCAGAATGTGAATTATATGGATTTTAAATTACAAAATGGATGTTTTTAGATACCGACGTCCGTTAATAGACTCCATAAAATAGGTGTATTGGGTTATCAGTAGTATTGTAGTCTCGACTAATTTTATGGTCAGCGAAGTGTGTATTTAGTTAACTACTAGTAACCTAACACCCCTTTTTTAAAGAAGATTATATTATCGGACACTGGTATAAAAATCCCCCCCCCCACGGGTTTTTAAAATAAGTTCTACTGTGTGAAGTTTAACCACTAGACAACTTATGTATAGACGTGATTTTCCCATCAGATGTAAGGATCCTATTAAATTGAAGTGTGATAAATCGAAGATGTAATTTTCTGTACGACGTGTAAGTGGGTCGTTTAAAATGTGGTTGGGCATGAAGGGTTTGTTAAGAGTGACAACACGTCTTTAAGAAATAGTTGCATTGATCCTCTGGCGAACATTTTCTTGTGAGAACAAGTACGGATGTAAGATATATATTCAATCATAAGACAAGGTACAGACTTTGAAGGAAAGATATGCTGACGTTCATCAGACGTATTGAAGTTTATAACATGGTAAGAATTATAAGGACCTGCAACAGACACACTGAGGTAAACATAATATTTGAGCGCCATAAGACTATTCCATACATTCAATGTCAGGAAAAATATTCCCTGAAAACATCCGCAAGCATTGTTATACAAACATGGCATAACATTCATTTACGTCACACAAACATTGCAGAAAAGTGACGTCATATAAATATTGAAACTATTACTGCATGAGAATAACGATTATTTTACTGAAACTTCATTTAAGCCGATTGGCCCTGATAGATGAGAATGTGATGGTAATTAAAAATTAATTTATATTAACATCTCAGGGACTAAGATGCTTCTAATGCAAGCATTGAACTGTGGAAAGATTACAGTGTTCAAAACGTTGACTGCTTATTTAAATTACGTTGCCACAAAATTTTATTTTAAAACAACCGGTTATTGCCAATCGTTTAAAACTAGATTTTTTCATGTTTTAGAATTATTTTTTTTCGAAACCTAATCTTTGCGCGAGCATTGAACCTAAACTTGCACTTAAGTCCAAAGAATGTATTCCTATTTTTATAAGCTTGTGATCAAACTAACATGTTGTAGATTTTTATTTTATTCTGATTTGCAAGAAAACAAAGAGAATCCCCGGAAGAGGTTATGCGGGTATTTAGTTTAATTTTTGTAGCAGATGGGATTAAATTTTTCAAGCAAAAATCTCAGGTAGGCGAGGAAACAATTTTTAGTCACTGATTATAACCTAATACGCCGAGATCCATCCTTACACAAAGAAACTGGCCTTTGTGTCTATGTCCACTCCTCAATTGGTTTCAAGTACAGGAAGGATCTGTCAACGGACAATATAGAATGTATATGGATTGAACTGGAAAAAAGCAAACACCATCCGGCAGTAGCGTAGCGAGGGGGGGCGGGGGGGACATATGTCCCCGGGTCCCCGGGCGCCGACCTTAGGGGGCGCCAAAATGGGTTGGAAAAATAAATTGAAAGGTTGAGGGGGGTGCAAATCGAAAGTTTGAGGGGGGGGGGGGGTGCAAATGGAAATCTCGAGGGGGGGGGGGTGCAAATCGAAAGTTTGAGGGGGGGGGGGTGCAAATGGAAATCTCGAGGGGGGGTGCAAATTGAAAAGTTTGTCCACGGGCGCCGGGAAGGGTCGCTACGCCTCTGCCATCCGGCAATTTTAATTTGTTTCCTTTATAGAAATCCCTGCGAAAACATGGATCGGTATGATCGTTTTTGCTCCATGATAAGTACCGTTTTATCTACTAACAATGAATTTATCGTATTGGGAGATTTTAATATAAATTTATTAAAACCTCAAGGATATGGGCAAGATATTGTTGATTCTCTGAATCTAAAACAATTTGTACACACGGCTACCAGGGTCAATGATAAATCAAGTACAATAATTGACCACATCTACGCATCACCTGACTGCAACCTAATAGAGGTCTGTGTCCCCTCTTGTGGTGTTAGTGACCACTTCCCTGTTTGTTGTACTTTTTCGACGAAAAGATTATGTGTACCTTCGCGGCAACACATAACTATAAATTATCGCTCTTTTAGAAAATTTAATGAAAATCTTTTTCTTTCGGATTTATTGGCTGCCCCCTTATACAACGTATACAATTATATTTGTCCCGATCTAGCCAATTTCTGAATGGCTGCGTATTTTCTATACTATATGTGACAAACATATTCCTAAAATCTCTAAAAGGGTTAAGACTACATACAAACCTTCTTGGTTTAAAAACAATATCGAATCTGCAAATAATAAAAGAGACTGGTATAACGTTATGGAACTTCTGATGACTTTTGTAGGCAACGAAATTATGTCAAACTGCTCGTGCGTAGGTCGAAGAAGGAGTATTTTAATAAGCTGCTGTCAGGCAAGCCTAATTCCAAATCTATCTGGACTGCCATAAATAAAATAATTAGAAAAAAACGCACATGCAATACAGCTGGACATTGCCAGATATCTGCTGATGACTTTAACAATCATTTTATATCATCTGTAGCGCTCAACACAGATGCTGATTACACTATCAGTGAGGAGCTTAAAATTTTTTTGTAATTCTGCTCACCGTGGTAGGACAGAGCTGATAATTCCGCTTCTCACTGTTCATGAAGTATATGTTAGCCTAAGATCTCTTAAACCGTCTTCAACAACTTCGTTTGGTGATATCTCTAATAAAGTATTGAAGATTTTAGCTCCAATATTCTCTGAAGTTTTAACCTATGTCTATAACCTCTGTATTGCCAAGCATTATTACCCGTCACATTTTAAGCATGCTAAGGTTATACCACTACACGAAAAAAGGTAACATCCAAGATGCTAATAACTACAGGCCAATTTCTATACTTTCTTCCCTCTCCAATCCACTAGAAATACATATAAACAAATGCATGTCAAACTACCTAGAAAAGCTCAAGCTTTTCCATAGTAATCAGTCTGGGTTTAGAAAGTTTCATTCTTGTCACACTGCTCTGATTAAGATGAATGAAAACTGGCTTAAAAATATTAACAAAAACCTACTCTGTGGCTCGCTGTTCGTCGATTTCAGAAAAGCCTTTGATTCTATTGATCACACCATACTTCTTAAAAAACTAATTCCATACAAATTCCACGACTCTACAATTAGGTTACTTCACTCCTTTTTATCTAACAGATCTCAATGCGTGTTTCACCTTAATACCATCTCTTCACAGAAATATGTCAATATAGGGGTTCCACAGGGCTCAATCTTAGGTCCTATACTTTTCTCATTATACATTAATGATCTTCCATTACACATTGCCGCGGGTCAGTGCGAGATGTTCGCTGATGATACTTCGTTACATGTCTTTGCAGACAGTGCTGAGTCACTCAGTTACAAAGTTCAAACATGTGCCAATCAGCTTGCTACCTGGGCAAAATTTAACAAAATGAAACTTCACCCCGATAAAACCAAGTCAATGATTATTACAACTCATCAGAAACGCCTTCGTCTTCCACCCACCGCATTACGCATTACTATAGACAACACAAACATTGAACAGGTTGATAGTTACAAATGCCTAGGATTGTTTATAGATAAAACCTCACTTGGTCCGACCATATTCATCTTCTAAGAATGTCCTTATTAAAGACAACTTTTTAATTAGCAAGGATAAAGAATTTTCTGGACTATAGGAGCAGGCTAGTTTTTTATGAAGCTTTTATTCAATCTAGGTTGGATTATGCTTCTGTAGTGTGGAGCGGCAGCTTTATAACTAAGCAGCGTCCTCTTCTATCTTTACAAACAAGGTAATTAAGAAGTCTAGTGACAATTTTAGCGAAATTTCCTTATGTCATCTAAAAATAGATCTGTCGTAGCGTAAATCAAGAGCAGGGTTAGTAAAACCATTGGTTAAAATACATGTTTTATTTACAATAGAGTTACACGACTAAAAACCATTGCGCGCCTAGCTACTGAACGTGATGACGCAGCCATTGAACGTGATGGCGCAGCTATTGAACGTGATGACGCGTGTGGTGTGGTTGGATAAGCATGCCTACTAATTCGGTCCAAATTTTAATTAATTCAAAAAAATTTTTGTGATCGAACGAAAGGATATTTTTGAAAACGTTCTTCGGCAATATTGTTCTAAATTGTGGCAGGAATCGATTGGTAAATGTTTCAAGTCGCTAAGTGGTCTGATTGCCAAGATATGGGCCAAAGACTGCATTCATCTATTACATTCTTTTTTTAGATCTCATTTTGTATTATAACTATGTAACATTATTTCTTTATTCTACATTTTTATTGCTGTTACTGCTATGTGTTATTAAATTGTTTTATTTGTTTAAACGGCCAATGTGAAAAAAAGGCCTTCGTGCCTACAATTGTTACCGTTTTTTGAATAAATTTGAATAAATTTGAATTTGAAATTTGAATAAATTTGAATTAGATCCCTTGCTGTACCTGGTACAGGCCGGTCCCTGACCTTCATGACGTCATGCTTGGCGCAGATTAAATTCCAGACTCGATCACCGTAACAGCCGCAGAGCCTGATATCAATTACTACGGTGATTCTATTCCCCCCCCCCCCCTTCCCCCAGTGCACATCGTCTCCAAAATTTTGAAAATTTGTCCTAGTCTTAGTCATTCTTTCAAGATTGCCTCCCATTTCGTAAAGTTGACGTAACCGAATGGAAGTCACGTGACCGGAACCGGAAATTCTCCCAGCGTGCCATGGCGGCGGATTGTATAAATTAAACCATAAAGCGGTATGCTAAAACGTACACAAGAGACACTCTATGTAATAGTTCTTTAAAATTTTACATTAGATATTTTTATTTCGGATACATTTTTTGTAGTTATATTTCAAAACGGAATAGGATTTTTGATTGAGTTGGTGAGATGGATTTTGTAAAATCTTTACTTTAGAGTGACTAGTTTAATCTGTGTGTGTGCGTCGGTGGGCTTTCAATAGACTTGTTAGAATTCTAAAACCTCTGCTGACCGAAAAGGGACGTAATCGCTAAGTAAGCGGCTCATTCAAACGTTTAACTCAACATCCAGTCAAGAGGCATTTCATTATTGAAACTTTAATTAAAAAAGTTATAAGTAATAAAAACTTTAATTAAATAAGTTATAAGTTATAGAAACTTTAATTTAAAAAGTTATAAGTTATAGAAACTTTAATTAAGTAAGTTATGTTATAGAAATTGTAATTAAATGAGCTATGGTTTTTACTCACTATATTATTTTCATATTTCTAAAACTGGTAGTTTAAAAATAAAGTATGTCGCCGAAGTCACTGACTTAGTTAATGTTTGAGTTAGGAAGGTGAGGGTAAGGGTTCAGGGTTGGGTTTCCAGATTTCGCTTCTCACTGTTCATGAAGAATATGTTAGCCTAAGATCTCTTAAACCGTCTTCAACAACTTCGTTTGATGATATTTCTAATAATGTATTGAAGATTTCAGCTCCAATAATCTCTGAAGTTTTAACCTATGTTAACTACAGGCCAATTTCTATACTTTCTTCCCTCTCCAAGCCACTAGAAATACATATTAAAAAATGCATGTCAAACTACCTAGCTCTGTATAATTAACTTCATCTGGTTTGGTCTTCCCTACGCAGAGGCGTACAAACCCTTCCCGGCGCCCGGGGACAAACTTTCGATTTGCACCCTTTGCACGCCCCCCCCCTGTTCGCACTTTCGATTTGCACCCCCCTCGAACTTTTGATTTACATACCTCCCTCAAACTTATGTCCCCCCCGCCCCCCCCCCCCCCCTCGCTCCGCCTCTGTCCCTACGAACTTTACCCAGATACAAAACCTTGCCTCATATTCACGCACCATAAACAGCATCTTTACCGCGCGGCAAGACGATATAGCACTTCCGGTGTATGGCGATAAATAAGTGGACAAACTATTCACAGGCACACCACATGCATCGATTGATTGGCTCGGTCAGCAAATATTTACACCTCGCGGCCATTTTGTTGTGGTGGGTGTATGGAGCATTGGAACAAGCTACTACATCATTTTTTTTTTTACTCTGTTCAAATGTGCACAAGAAAAGTTTAAAGTAGAGTATAGTTCCCTTCTCAGACATATCAGTCCATATGGCAAGTGATGTAGAGTTCATCTGCTTCTGTGACCTCGGCATATGAATATAGTATACCGCACTATACGTTACTGTTGTGCTTACTTCTAAAACTTCGGCATACGAACGGATAGTGTGGTCAACACTATTCGTAACTGTTTTGCTTACCTTTCAAAAAGGTTGAATTTCAAAACAATTCTTCCTGAACATGTAAAACAGAAGTGTTAACATTTTAAAAAGACGACTGTAAAGCAGGAAGATCTTATAGAAAACAATGAGGTTATTTACATATATAAATAATAACCGCTGATATTTAAAGCCATAATAAAAGCCATACGATTTAAAGAGAACTACGTTAAGTTTATTTCAATAGAAGAAAATAGTTGTCTTTGAAAGCAGAAGGTAGCAGCATTTGGATAATTTTTAAACTATCGAATAGGAAAATAGATGAAATACCCCTGTGAGTACAAATATGTGCTAGAAATAATTGTAATTTGAAATATAGGTGGTGACTATACTTTACAAAATAAATACTTGAAGGAACGTACAAACATGAGTGATTATGGATAAGATGTACTCACATTTCAAAGGCAACAACGATGTGAGACAAATTCGACCAGTGTTTCTTCCAGACTTTTTTCTCCAGCGGGGAGAGGGGGGGCACCTGATATTTTCGGGAGGGGCGCGGACTAAATTTTCCGGGGGGGGGGGGGGGGGGGGGACTCAGGTAGAAGTATATATTTTCTATATTATAAATTAATTTTCATTCGGGGGGGGGGGGGGGGCTAGACTTCCTTTGGTAGGGTGGGGGGGGGGGCGAAGATATGCCTGGAAGAAACTCTGAATTCTACCACATTTAAAAAGCATCAGTTATGAAAGACAAAGTGTACTCACGTTTGAAAGGCACCAGTGATGACTTGCACGGGCCGCTGTCGTCATCGTCATCGGGCTCCACGTGACACGACAAGATCTCGATGGCGTCATCCGGTTGTGTCGTCATCGCTTGAATCCAAATTTCATTGCAGCTGACGTCAGCAAACGAGTCGTGGAGGAGCGGGTAGGAGTGGGGGCGGTGGAGGCTGAAGGTCGAGCCGCTGTGGGCGAGGGCCGCGAGCGAGTTGAGGTAGAGGCTGAGTTCGGGGCAGCTCTTAATGGCTGAGAAATCTTCCAGCGTTTGCATGAGATGACATGTGCGCTGGCATGGGATGTGACATATGGGCGGGGGTAAGGGTTGTCATATGACAACCGTTGAGGTACTCAAGTTTATGGTTAGACAAGATGGCATCTTATTTTGTGTGTCTACGATGCTTCCATTAAGACTGAGATCGTTTAATCCAAATAGAGTTGCACAAAACGTTTGGGGAAATAATCCGTTCAACTGAAATAGGCTTCGTTTTGTTTTTAATTTATCCAATTAAGCTCTTTTAATATATCTGAAAAATACAAGAAAAACATCTTAATTAAATATTAATTTTTTTAAAAAGACTTTTTAAATCAATTTATAATTATCGTGTCGATTAAAATACAATCCAAGTAATTAAAACCCAATTTAAATCATAACGGCGAGCTCTTCATTATAATTAACTTTTCAATATGTGCGGAATTTTCGGACGCGCAATTATTATTTTTTTTTTGCGAAATTTTTCTTACGAGCATCTTTTTCGGGACCCCGGAATTTGACAGATACATCATTGTAACTATTCATAAGCAGATACATCGAAATAACGCAAGCATTTAAAATTACATTAAAGCGGTAGAGAAAAATATTGGAATCGTGCGGCCTAATGGTCTCAGGCTAGAGCAGTTGCCCATCCGTGAGTCCACTCAGCTCTAATGGGTACCTGACTTACTTTAGAAAAAGTAAAACTTCCGGGCATTGTGTTGACGACACTAGCCCTTCACATACCGAGGTCGCAGAAACAAGTGAACTCTACTTCACCTACCCCGTAGGCCGCCAGGACCGTACGTGAACTATCTGCCTACTTTATTTACTTATAGAAAGAAATCAGATTCAGTTAAAACCAACGCGATGTAAGCGACTAACTCCCGAAAACAACCGTTAATCAGTTCATCAATAAAACCTTATTTGAACTAACGAGACGCCGAGCTGTGTTCGTTGTCCCCAAAATCTGACAGAAAACCAAATCGATTTGTATTTACCTGTATGTACCATGGCTGTTTCTAAACGAACTCAGCGTTTAGTTAAATTACTTATCAATACGCACGACCTAATTTCACGCGCGTGCATTATGCCGAGCGTCTGGGAATTAGAGTGGGGGGAGGGGGGGGGGAGTGCAGATGTTTAGTCTGCGAGGGTATCACGTGGTTCTGGTGCCGCCTGTGAGGAGAAAGTTTTCACGGCCGATTAAAATGTACTGGCACCGGTGCCAGGTAGGGTAGAAAATGTCACAATGTGACATATCGCCTGGAAGTGGCCAGGTAAATTGTGAAATGTCACGCAGATGCACACATGACATTCAAGTTGCCAGATAGGATTCTAAAAAGTCACAATTAGACTTTTGGCAAGGATGTTGCCAGGTAAACTTTGAAATGACAAATAGATTCACTAGAGACATTCAAGTTGCCAGATAGAATTACAAATGACATTTGAAAGCTACTGGCATGGAATAAGCGTAAACTTTTATTTTCTTACTGTAAATATAAAATTCAAAAAAAAATTTCTCTTTTGAACACCTTTACTAAAATTTTAGAAGCGCCCCACGTTTTTCTTTATAACTATTTAAAGAAAAATTTAAAGAAAAATCGTTATTTTTCATATTTTAATTTCATAGTTATAAAAGCGCTTGTTATTAAATCGTTTTTTATGCATTTATTTTAAAATCAAACAAGCATGTATTTTCCTCATAGCTTTTTTAATTAAAAAAAATATTAGAATGTTTAATTATCACTACAGTAATTCATTTTTTTTCAGCATTTATGATAATTAATGCCTGAAGTTTGTCAATCTCAACAAACTTAGTTGTTATGCAACTAACAAGCGCATAAGAGATTTAAAAGTTGTTATATAAAACAAAATGTAATATTTATCTCCGCTATTTTATTAAGTAGATATTAAAATTATTTCTTTCGTGCTTAATGTTTTGTTTCAGTTGTAGTGAAAAAATATTTTGTATGAGTAACATCATGTAAATGACAGGGTTTGGCAGTTTTTCTAACTAGCTTTATATTTTTATAGAGAGACTGATCATAATTTTTAAAAGTAAATTATCGATTGCAACTTTATAATTTCTCTCGTTTCAAAAGTTGTGTATCCGTTGGTTGCAATCAACACTATGTACTAAAACAATATAATGAGTTCGCAAATGTTTTATAAAGTCTAGTTTTTTCGTGAAAGTGATTAAATAAACCAAAAACTATTATATAAATATTTTAAATCTGAACTTGCTCCTACCAGAATTATTCCAGTCATGTAATAATCGATAATCAATCACTTATTCCATTGTTTGTATTCTATGTTATTAATCATATACACAATATTCGTTCTTTACATTTCAAACAAATGTATTTGAGCACCCTCATGGATAGAATGCATGCACGTGTCTAGCTTCAAAAGACAGTGTTAGTGGCTCCCGTCTAAAGCCAACAAAAACATAAGGGACACAACTTCTATCAGGGGAAGTAAGTCAATGCAAGTAGATATCAATCCACTAGTGAGTTGCGTGTTCTAAGCAAATACATTACGTATTTGCGTTGCATGATATGATATTATATCAAGGATTTTGGGGGCGTGTTTTTCTTTGCCGATTACGTAGTGATGTAATATGGATTAGCAGGGAGTGCTCATTGTTGAAGTCGTATTGATGTTAGACATATGTGGGGAGGCCTCATTGTGTAAGTCCGATCTACTCTATAGTGTAAGCTGTGTTTAGTGGCACGCTAACACGAAGGGCGGTTTTGTACTTTGTGTTTTGAGTTGAAATAATGAGGAAATAACATATTAGCAGAATAATTTTTAAAAAAGGGGGTCTCTTCCTAAATATTATTAAAGGTTCCAGTAGATAATACAGTCACCCACGCTTTTCTTTATAGCAAAGTTTCTTCCAGGCATCTCTTCGTAGGGATCTGCGCCCCCCCCCCCCCCCCCCCCCATCCGGAAGAAAGTCTACCGCCCCACCCCCGAACGAAATGGATTTTATATAGAAAATATATAGTTTTAACAGCGTCCCCCCCCCCCACCCCCCGAAAAAGTGCCTACCCGGAGAAATAATCTGGAAGAAACACTGCTTTATAATAATTTAAATAGTAGTGTCTTATATATTTAAAGAAAATCATGTATTTTCTACTCTTTTATGCATTATTACATAAAAGCTTGTTATTAAAACTTTTTTAAAATGGATTTTTGTGTTATTTCAAAGAGCTCAAGGATAGGAGAAATGTGGAATAAAGAAATACGGAATGTACAAAAGTTTAGCTTAGATACCGATCGTTCAAACCGTTGAGGTACGAGTAAGAACCGATAAATTAGTCGACCAATTAGAAGTGTGATATCCAGTCATGGTCAGTAGACCAGTCAAGCGTTAGCAGCTGACCAGAGATAATTTTAGGAGCAAGTCAAGTAGAGATTATGTGTTAGGTTAAAAATGATGAGTGGACTTTTATAAAGCAGTTGGAGTAGAGTCAAGATAGAGTTGAATAGGTTTTAGAAAGTGGTGTGGTATAATGGGCCTAGATGTCTGTAGGGGTTAGGATTGGATTGTTGTGTGTTAATAATAAATAAACATGGATACCGTTGAACTTTGACTGTGTCAGTTGTTGTAATTTCATAATGGAGAAAATAAGTTCTAAAACACTCACACTTCAACTGGCCAGAAAAATATTTTATTTTTTCTCTAAAACACAGACATCTCAACTGGCCAGAAAAATATCTTATCTGTCTTTTAAAATACTCATTCAACTGGCCAGAAAACTATTTATTTGTCTTTTATAGCACTCCCCATTCAACTAGCCAGAAAAACATTTTATTTGTCTTCTTAAACACTCACTCCTCAAATGGCCAGAAAATATCTTGTCTTCTCACTCACACACAAAACTGGCCAGAAAAAGTATCTTATGTGTCTTCTAAATTACTCACCCCTCAACTGGCCAGAAAAAAAGTATTTTATTTGTCTTCTAAAACAGCCATCCAACTGGCCAGAAAAATATCTTATTCGTCTTTTAAAACACTCACACACCCAAATGACCAGAAAAATATATTGTCTTCTAAAATACTTAACCATCAACTGGCCAGAAAAATATCTTATTTGTCTTTTAAAACACTCACTCCCCCTCCTGCCATTAACCTGGTTATGTTTGTGGGTGGGGCATTGACGCACGCACCGATCAGAGGTTTACATGTAAACACAGCGGCACTGGCATTCCAGCTACCTTGGCGTGACCTTGACAGGTCCAGAGGGTGCAGTAACCTCGCGGACAGATTTAGAACTCATTTCTTTCTTCACTTAACCTTGTCGGTTAATTATTAAGCAAAGAATTAATTATTACAAATTAGAAAAAAAAATAATTATCTCTTCCAACGCCGGGATAAAAAAATATTAAACTTAATTCATCTTTTTACGGTGTATTGGGTTTAAAAGGGTACTTAGCAATTAATTTGCATTAAATCGCAGGATAAATTAGAAAAGTGAATTTTAACGAATTTTTGTTAAGCTGATTAATCTTTTTTAGAAACAGAAAAATTAAACAATCGTTTAAGGAACTGTTTTAATTGTTTATTCGTTCAAGTATAGAAAAATGAGTACGAACGCCGAATCAGAATCCTGGTTTTCAGAACGTCAGCTACATTTTCTTTGACCTCTAAAATATATTCTTCAAAGTAGGATTAAAGTTTACAGCCACTAGTAGCTGAGAAGAGAAAATATTATGAAAACGAAACAGCAGGGATATTTTTTAAAGACATGACACCGGGTGAAAAAGCTTAACTAAACAAATATATGATGTCATCACAGTGTGGCATCAAGCGCCTCCCACACCTAAACAGGTGGTACCAAGGTGGGAGAGGTTGGCAGTAGGTGTAGGTGTATCCTTCAGACGGCTGTCTGCTAGTAGGTGCCATATGCACTCTTACAGACAGGTGATGATATATATATATATATATATATATATATATATATATATATATATATATATATATATATATATATATATATAAATATACATAGTATTAGGGGTTGTGTTTTTGACTTGATGGTTGTTTTGTAAAAACGATTACCGTAGCTGCGGTTGGATTTTCTTCGTTCTCTAGACACTACCCCATGCTCTTGTATATTTTTCTTTTTCCCTTTGTTTTTAAACCACTGTGAAAGCAGAGTCCTCTTTCTCCTACAATTAAACTTACCAAAGGTAAGCAAAAGTTCAATCAACTTCCATGACTTATTTCCCTTTTTAAATCGTCAAATAGGGGTGCTCATAAGCT